ACCAATTTAATGGTCTGCCAAAACAGTTACTTTTAAGGCTTGCAAACTCTCAAGGTTGCCAGTGTGCTTATTTAAGCTCTCAACTGAGCTTTCAGGCCTTCAAATGTGTGCACCAAGGCAACTGCTAAGATAGAGACTGCTAAGATGTAAATAGAGGCTAAGATGGCACCTTCCTTGACTGTAAAGAAGAGGAAAATGTAGTTCCATTTTGAATCGGAAGTTAAAGTGACATTAAACCCTCAGATTTTTTAACATAAACCAATACTGTAATGTGTGCCTTACTGTAATCCATGGTTGTTTCCCTTCTCTGTGCTGCTCTTCCTTTTAAATCTGTATCTGTTCTCATGCTGGGCAGAACTTCTGTTTTGCAGCAGACTGCCTTGTCTCTGGAATGGATACACGGTGTCTGTGTGTACGTTTGCAACCTGAGCCAGCACTACACGAAGAGGCACTAAGCTGAAAAGGGAAGTTCTCCCCAAGCATGAGAAGACAGGAGGATTTAAAAGGAAGAACAGCAAAGAGAAGGGAAACAACCATGGATTACAGTAAGGCATACATTACAGTATCGGTTTATGTTAAAAAATCTGAGGGTTTAATGTCACTTTAAGTAAAAAAATAAATATTAAAATAATTGCAGATGAGCAGGCTTTATATGACAGTGTAATGACTGGGTAAGCCTCTTCTGCCATAAAAGTTGTTTGCTGACTGTCAGCAATTTTTTTTTTTTGTGCATGCACGGGAGCTATGTCATTGAGGCCTGGCCATTCAATCGTCCAAAGAATCAGAACCAGGAAGAGGACGGGGTGAACAGCCCTGGAGGGGATCACTTTGGTGGGTAAGTCTGCAATAATAATAGTCCGCAATAATGTGCTAATATGCTGTGCATATTATGGCTTAAAGCTCCCGAGGGCTTTGTTTTTTTCACAATCCCTCACTTTACTTCCGCTTTAAATTCTTAAACCACTGAGGACTGCAAAGAAGGAACAAGAGGGCTACATGTGACCCAAAAAAAACTGCAGTTTGACATTCTTGGATTAGATTAAAGCTAGATCTACACTACAGACAAGTAAAATAATCATCATACTGCAAATGTGTATATGAACAGATAATAAAGATAAACCACAGACAAGTAAAACAAGATGTAATATGACACAGTAGATATGTGTGCAGATATACAGTGCATGTGTCTATCTGCAGAAATCAAAAGCCACCAGTGAAAATTTAGTATTAAAAACAAACATCTGTGCTCCAGAGTCTTGGCGCCTGATTTATTACAATTGCAGAGAACAACTGCACAATACTAAAACCACACTTATAAACTCACAATCTAATGGTAAGATTCCAAGCCCTAGAGGGTGGCTAGTGCAAGCCTAAACCAGGGTGGGTCAAGATTATAAAAAATGTGCACTGTTAGATTACAATAAATAAAATATTTTCTCAGTAAAATATTTAAAATTGTAGTTATGGGATACTACTCTGCATTTCCCACCATCATCTCCATTGTGTCATGTAGTCTAGGAGGTAGAGTAGTTCTAGAGGGCTTTATTAGCACGTACATAATACACATGCAGCCTTCTGAGTATATCATAATAGAAACTGGAAATGAAACTAACTGGTACAGAGTATAGAAAGTATTATACATGTAGCAACTATGCTACTCCAGTTACATTCTTCATAATATAAAACACATTCAGCCTTCTGAGTATATTAGGACAGGAATTTTAACTTGTACAGAGTATAGAAAGTATTCTATACCTAACAATTTTATATAGTCCCATCTACTGGTATTCTCTACGCTTGCTGCATTGATTATCTAGTGAACCCCACCGGAGTGGAAAGCTACCCCTATTAGCAAAGTAGTGCCCTTTCAATTATCTAGTGAATTGAAGATAATACATGTAGAAGACTGAGAGCTGCTGGTGTGCCAGACATCAGTTACTTTGGAGGGCTCAATAAACTGGATTAGGCAGTGAGACCTTGCCACCATACATAATATTTTAGTACTCTGAAGTGTTTCTCCGTAGTTGGAAAAAAAAGCTTAGAGACTCTGG